GTATGTAGAAATTTTTAGGTGAAGAAAGTACGATTGTGTTCGAAATTACAGCGATTTTACCGAAGCAGGATATTTTCATCTAACGACTTCCAGGTCAAACTGAAATGAACGAAGTTAAAATGGAACAGAGTTACAACAGGGAAGACATAAAATTTCCGCAGGAAAGATGGCACCTTTTTTAAGAAACAAAATTCAATTGTTCCGAGCCCAAGTTACTGGAATGACTTTTAATGGTTAATCAAAGTCTCGGGCAGTTCGAAAACAATTTCAATATGATTGCGGTTGTCCCGAGTGTGGTTGAGTAGATTACCAGCAAGATAGGCTGAGACCCGAATGTTTTCGGTGAAACCGCAGATAAGGCGTGGCCCCTCAAAATATGATTAACAGAATTACGAAAAGTATGGTAATTGCCGCCGTGCGGAGCAAGCTAAAGAATACCACCGTGTCCGCATCCGTGAAACCTTTACGTAAGTAATGCCACGTTAACAGGCTTAGAGATTACCTCGTCTTTTTACCATTATCCGAATTGATCATTTCGTGCATAACACTCTGAATTTTCGTATGAAAATGTCTGAAAAATGAATTTCTTTCTTGCACTACGATTTCTTGCACAGCTTGTTTCTAAACGAATTCATTCTCATGGAACTTTTACTGTAATACGTTCTTCGCGTGTCTCCATTGTTTCCCCATTCCTACACTTTGATAAAAGAATAATTAAATTTTATTCCGATTTAAAAGAAGCGAATACCATTCATATTCAGTGGATTACGTATGAATTTTTCATCCCGACTCTGACTCATTGCAGCGCAAGGGGTTAAGAAGTTCTCCAACAGTAAGAAACAACCTAAGGGTTTCACGACTGAATATCCAGAACCTAATTAAAGCTTCCCGGAATTAGTATGGAGCGCGTGACATCGTTATAAGAGAAGGTCCACCAGAAAAGGCGGTGCATTCCCAAAGTAAAAACTTTTCTCCAGGTAGCAGGCCCCCGGATTCCCAGAAACGATGCACCAGGAATATTCCCACGTCGGGCGTCGAGTTCCTCAAATTTCGTGGTGCAGAGGAACGATGCTTCTCCGTCGAACAATAGACGCCACGTGAAATCTGCGAAGAGGCATCGACGAAGTTTTACCGTACTGTACACGTTTCGACGAGTCACGTAATGGACAGGCCGATGGGTGGAAACACGTTACATCAACCACTTTGTGAGTTTCGTGTTCACTGAGAAATTAAACGCTAGAATGATTTTCCACGGAGCGTCGCTGACGTAACGACCGTCGTTCACTGGTGTAAAGAAGAAAAGAAGATTGTTCTGGGGTCATTTAGCACTTCTCTGCAACGCAGCGCTCGAAATAGACAAACTCAAATCAACTTGATTCATCTACGATCCTCATTTTGGAACTCTTAACGGCTCAGAAATAATTGCAACAGATTTTCACGTCCAAATGAATAATCCTTTCACCGGTATAAGGCGACGCACGCTAGTTTTTTTTCGGTAAATATAGTAATAAAGTTGACAAATCCTACCAAACCCTTTAGTAGTTTAGATTAACCACTAAAATAAACGCAAAAGGATAAACCGTCAGGATAAACGCAAAAAGAAAGTGGCAACTAGCCTGATGGCGATCGTGGAAACCGAGCAGGACAGAGAGCTCAGTGGGCGTTCGCGCGATAGGAAAAGTTATCTGCGGCCGCCGACGTGCTTGAATTTTATTAAACGACAAGCCCGGTAAATGATCTCTCTCGGTACAAGCAATGGTACCACTCCGTCGAATCAGTAACAACGAAAAGGCTGCTTGGCTGTGTATACAGCAGCGCGCGAGCGCATGCCCACGTACCGTGCCGTTTGTCGTGACATCGGATACATTTTCACCGCACGAATACAAAATAAGTTAACTGTGACACAGCCAATGGTACCTACAATACTCCAAGAGCCTTCATGACGTTCCATGGTATTCACCATTTCCCGTTGTGTCCTTGACGCGATTCGCCACGCGACAACGGAAGCTCGATTTGTCCGCTGGGACTTTGGAACCGTTCCCAATGTTTACACAGGTTTGAACATTCGTGGGGATCTTTTAGCAGTTTGATCTCGTGCAACTAGAGGGGAAGGTACCCTAGGAATGTGGACAGTTTTCAGATTTTAGTATCTACTTTGGTATTTTATGCGAAATCTTATTGTGTAGGAAGATGCAGAAAGTTTAACCGCGAAATGATACCTTGTTTCCTTAAATTATGGAAAGTTGCAGTTGGATCTTGCTAAAAATACCATAGGAAGATTTCTAAAATACTGTTAAGTGTGTCGAGCCTGTGTAAAGTTGAAATTTTCATAAGTTAAGAGACAATATTGAGACAAATGTTCCAAAGAAATCGAAGAACCCAAGGTACCATTAGAAAGTTCAGAGCACCAGTATGCTCAACTTATTCAAATGGATTTGAACCATATGTTCGAAGCACACCAACCAGAGTTGAGCAATACATTATATAATAATCAATGACTAACAATTACAATGAATTTACAATTTGCCATTTGGTGGCATCGTCTTGGTACCGTTTGCACAATGGCAATAGCCGGTGGGACCACGTTGGTGTCGCGGTTAAAGGTAACGGGCAAATGTCGGCGGCAGATGAAAGTATTCCTACCCAGGTGCTGACATCGAAGCGTTATGCATCAATTGTGCTAATAATTAACTCCTATCTCCACATAGTCTCCAAACAGCAATTGTTAGGATACTAATTTATTGACCTCTTTGACATAAATAAGATGAAAATGATTTGAATACGTGTGCGTAAATCAAGAAATATCTCGAAATAAAACAGCTGGTAGTTTCAATTTAACGACCGGCACAGCAATCGTCGATCACGATTAATTTCATCATTCGAACGAAATAAAAAAGTTTAATGTCCAGCTCTGACTAGCAGTAAAATACGCATGGCACACAAGCCAAGAAGCGCGAATCGTTTGAAATGTAAGGTGCCCGTGCAGTCCGTGGCGAATAAACAAACAGCGTGAATAACGATAAAGCTGTGTTCATCTGGAATTACCGTATGCGATCGCCTTTCAACCGAAGGAGCGTTGCATTTGCCAGCGTGTGTCCAGGAATCACGGACAGACCTTTGCGTTTACCTCTTTCCGACTGCTATCCTCGTCTCGGTCTCCGTTGCCTTTCGCTATTCCGCTGCTGTACGCGGCGGCGCGCGTAAAAATACCGAAATAGAAAGTCTCCCCGGTTAAAAACTTTTCCCTTTGCACCGTCGTCCTGTTTCTGTGTCTTTCTTTCGTTCCTTTTTCCCCCGTTTGCTACTTTGGTCCGTGATCCCTGGATACAAACGCCGGGCCACAACACGCCGAGCTTCGGATCCTGCGGTTTCATGCGTTTCGATGCAATTAGAATAGTTCCACTCACCGACAACGAATTACTGCGCGACGTCGCCGACTGACGTTTCTACCAGCGTCGTCCGCTTTCCCTGAACGTAATCCACCTGTTCCGACAGCACAGAAACCACCGATGCGAATGAGAAAAAGTTTGCTCGAGAGAGTTCAGGCGGGCCTCTCGAGTTCCGTGCTCCCTCTAGCGGTGACTGACACCAGAACCGCCATCTTGGACAACGCCGGCGACTATGTCACAGACTATGATCTATAGGGATAGATGTAACACTCGGTGAATTTTCGTATGCCGATTTTCCGGGATCTTCGTACCGCGAAGATACACGAAGATTCCAATTTTTGTACATTTCTACAAGTTTTTGCTGTTTATATATGTATGTAAATAACTCATAACAATCAAATATTGAAATTTTCTGGTGGTGCAAAGATTTCTTGTATTCATATAATAACTGTGATATTCTCTGTTTTGACATCTTTTCGCAGTTTATTATATTTTATAGGTACTATTTTCATCGTTTGGAAATACGCTACGTATGAATTTGTAGCTTTCCAATCGTAAAACGTGCAGCGATGTAAATGAGGTATACAGCATACTCGAACCTTACTAAGAAGCTTAAATTTCTGAAATCTCGGTAACGATACAGACTTAGAATCCGTACAAACATTGCATATAATGCTCTTTTTGCAAAGACATCTGCAAGACTATTGCTATATATATGTGTGTACTATTACATAAAATAATTACACTTTATATCGTATTTCGCATACATTTATTGCTTTCAAATGTTCAGCACGCGTAGTAGGAATGAGATATACAAGATATTCGCTTCTTGCTAACGTACTAATTTTTCGTGAACTATCGGTAATGCGACACGAAATTGTAAGGGAACTCCAGAGCCCTCCACAACTTAGACAGAAGAGCAATGTCTGTACGAATAATATTTGACCGGTTTGCTATTGAGATTTTTTAATTTTGAAGGTTCAAATTAAAAATGGAAGATTGCACTTTATAATAGATACATACCTACTTAATAATTACAATAACATACTGGAAAACTGAAACGGATTCGGGACACGTACATCCATCCATATTCTTATCTATGGCCATGTTCGGTCATTTTGTGGCGGCAGATTTCGTTCCAATTACATATGTACTGAAAATCCCATTATATTTATTTAAAAGCGACAAGATTACAGCTTTAGGCTAATTACGAACTTAATAAATTATTCCATGTCTTTCCTGTAACTTTCAGTTCATCCTGAATAACATATAAAATGACCCAATTTAAATAACAAATAATAGATGACGAGACACTTTATGACAAATTAAAGTATAAAATATGTTGGTCTGATCGAAAGTATATAATGGAATTATTCTTTCTTAAATAAAATACCTGCAGCATATTTTGCTCTTGGAAAAGTTGGTCTTGGCGAAAAATTATGCCTGCACGTACATAGACACCAAACTATATGGGTTTGTAACAGTTAAAAGCTACTCTGTTGGTTGTAGTCGAATCGAATTTGAAAATTTGAAAGAATCTCTGAAGTTTCAGCAAGAAAAAGTAATAAGTAAGGCGGTCTAGTTTAGAAGTGCCCTTGACCGTTTTCGACGTGGACGGCACTGTCAGTCGCTCTGGCATTCAACATGGCCACCTGATAATGTAGCAGACGATACAGGTGGGATGAAAAATTGTAAATAAAATTTGGTTCTAGCTTGAACTATGAGTGGACGTGTGCAGAAAGACAGTGCTGATGATTCTGATCGTGTCGACGATGCAGTGGATCCCAGAGTGCAGGTAAACCGTTGCGTTTTTCGGGGAATAATTGATAGGCTTTCAGAAGCCAGCCACTTATGATATTGACATTTCCACGTTGACGCGGACAGTACATTTGTTTATACTCCGTTTGCCGTTAGAACATACTTTGCTGATCTTTCTCGAATCTTTTACGAGCACCTCAAACTTGTAATGTTTTCATAGCTGTATGTTCTGTTTGCCACGTTGTAAAGTGATCTATATTTTTGTTAATCTCCCTTTCCCGGATCATGGGGTTACCAGATGTACTCTTCTTAGAATGCATACATACTTTCTGAGATATGCCATTTCTGCACGTGTTACTCTTTTTCTATTGTTCTATTTCTGGGCTTTATTGACAATGCTACAAAATGGTAACAAATATACTTTTAGTTACACAGTTTTCTAAAAATAATTTGTTTTGAAATTTTGTGTAAATATGTGAATATATTAAACTTTGTGTATTATTTAGGTTTTTTTTGGTAATTAGTATAGCTGTCACACCATCTGGAGATCCACAGAAGTAATTAAATTTAAATCATTTTATAAAACTAGGCTAATATATTTTATAATAAATATTTTGGAATTTTTAATATTATAATTAATCTACTAGAGAGACATTATTTTTTAAGGGAGTAGAAAGAAGGAGGGTCAAGTCTACTATTTTTATATTATGCCATCTGGTAACCCTATAATGAATATGCTGATAATTTCATGTTCAATGTCCATCAGTCAAAATATTTATCATCAATTGTGTTTTCAGATTGAACTTGAAAGATTAAATACTGCTACCGATGATATTAACAAGCTCGAAGTTGATTTGGATGTAAGTATGATTCTATTATTTACATGAGTTCAATGTTCAACCTATAGACTATGATCATTTGTATTATTATATTGAATTTATTGTCAGAAATGGAGATCCATGTAAAATATATTTTATATATTGTATGTTTTGTAAAAAAAATGAATAACCAGTTCACTTATTTTTCTTTTAGGAGGCAAGAGCAACTTTCAGAGAACTACTCTGTGAATCTACATTAAAAATTGATAGTTTAGCTAAGAAACTTGGTACTTGTATTGAGAAATCTAGGCCATACTATGATGCTAGGTTTAAAGCCAAAGAAGTAAGATATTTTATGGAGATAAAATTATATGTATGCTTTCCAAGCATTAATCTACTATTTTAATTTATCATTAAGGCTTTACAAGAAACGCAAAAAGCAGCTATTAGATTTGAAAGAGCAAACAGCCAACATGCAGCAGCCAAAGAAATGGTTTACTTAGCTGAAGAAGGCTTAAGAACTGAGGGAAGATGTTTTGACCATGCTTGGCAGGTAATTAAAACAGTATTAATTAGTCTATGTAAATATCCATAGTCATGCTTAAAAAAAAGCTTGATGTAAACAATTTTATAGGAAATGTTAAATCATGCAACTGCTAGGGTCAATGAATCTGAACACGAAAGAGCATTATCAGAAGCAGAACACAGACATACCACTGCTTTGTATCACAAAGCTGAACACGAAGTGCAAAACCTACAACGCGATTTAAAGCGCGCAATCGCTAAATCTAGGTATGTATTTGTAATATATTTTTTCCTCATTTTGGCTAGTAATATTGAATGATTTTCTAGTTTACATAATAATGCATGGAATGTACTGCATTCAATTAATAAATATATCGGTTCCAAAAATTGATATTTTTTTTGTGGATAATATATTATATATACTTTTTTATCCCATGATTTTTAACATACCGTCTTACTTTTTCTCCATATAAATATTTGATAATTTATTTTTGAATGTTTACTATGTTCTGTTAATTTTGTATAGACATTAGAATATTTATGTCTTTTGGTTATATTCATGTTGGCAGTATGGGTGCACGTCGCAGCTTGCTTCTGATAAACAGTATCGCCTACAGGCACAACTTGCTCATGTTGTAAGTAGGATAGATATTCTTTTTTTCATTTTTTTTCTCTCCACGACATTTAATTTTTGTGTGTGATATGGAGTACCCCTTTACTGATGTATTCTTTTCAATCACCTCCCTTGAGCACGAGTTTCAAAATATTCAATAAACATGCTTTTGCATAATATCATTTATGATAAGCTAGACATAAAAAAGAATTGCAAACTTCTTTGTAAAAGAATTAATTAATGAACTTTTCTTATGCAGACCGTATTATGAGATGAAAGCACATTTTAATCAAATGCTAGAGGAACAGAAATTCAGAGTGAGTGCCCTCGAAAGATCAGTGGGCGACGCTAAAATGACTTACGCGGAGGCACTGAGAAATTTAGAGAAAATTAGCGATGAAATTCATAGGGTATAACTATATACTAACTGCTCAAAAAATTATACGATATGTCTACGAAATTATTTATAATTTTAATTTCTCCGCAGACTAGAAGGTACGACGGGACAGACGACCTTAGTAAACACTCAAGAGACACGGTCAATCAGGCTGGTAATCAATCTAAATCAGCAAACTCATCGGACTCCAGTGTGACCGGATCACCCGATAGTACAGACTACACTAGCGACGAATACTTGCATCTTCCTGATAAAATGAGTCCTAATGCACCATGTCCTGTGCCTACAAGAGTGAGTATCTTATAGTCTCTTTAATAAAAAATTATTCTATTCTAATAATGTTATTACTATTATCTAGATCGACAGAGAACCTTCGTCTGAATACCTGGGCCTAAGCAACCTGAATCTGTCATCCACGGAGCCTCGAAAGTACATAAAGCGGGACCGTCCAAAAAGCATTGCAGCAACAGACTCGAAACATATCATAACACTGAATCAAACCAGTTCGTCGACGTCACGGTTATCGGACTTGTCAAGCATTATTTCACCCATGGAGAAACGAGTCACCATTCAAACACCGGCGGAGACAAATACCACCAATGCGACCGCACAAAATGGCGAGGAGTGGACGGAAATCAGCTTGAACAATTCTCCAGACGAGATTTATTATAATAACGAAGTATACTCAGATGACGATGATCAAATCCCTTACAAACCGTTACCGATGGACCTGAGTCCAGAGAGTAGCAATCCAACAGCTAGCGGCGGAACTATCCAGCCATTTGCTGATATATCTAATCGGAAGAAATTAATTACTCAGAAATCACTACCAGCTATGCCGAAAGGGAACGAGGTTACATTGAGCATTGAAAAGAAAGCGGAGGTCACAAGAAGTCCGTCTATAAAGAGCAAGAGCAAGCTCGACAGTAGTTTAGCTAATTGGATAACTAGAAGCTCGGCTGGCGGTGAGGCTAGCGGCGGTAGCTCAGGTGAAAAATACTTCAATGACTTTAGAATGCTATAATTTTAAGCAGGTGCATAACATTGCGTTCAATATTGCAGCAAACTCTAGTAGAAGGCAATCACTCGATATGCTGTGGTGTGCCGGACCTGGAGAGAGGGTGAAAGAGTTATTAAGTCATGGAATGATGATGTTGAATATATCCAGTCTAACCGAGAGACGTTCCAGTGAACCGAGAACTATCGAGAAGGATAAGGAGAAGTTCGAGAAGTGTGAGAAAGTGGAAGGAAAGGGGAAAAAGGTTCCTAGTCCGCTAGAAAAAACACTGACATACCTGAATGCAGATGAAGAAACGTCCGATAGCGAAAGTTTAGCAAGGTACGTGTTCACTTTGCAAACATTTTGAATTCGAATATTACTAATAACTGTTGTATACAAAATAGTGTGGAGATGTTAACGGAGGATCAGATATCGTCGCTCATGATGGAACCTGACATGAATCAAGTATGCCAAGAGATATTAGGGACCCCGTTAGTCGAGGTGTGTCCATTGCTGCAACAACTGCAGCAACAACAATAGCACACCTACTAACGGGAGCGACTCGATTGAAATGAAACTATGCAACAATAGAAAGTGTTCAGAAACCATGATAAAGGAACGAACTAGTTAAGGTATAGCTTTATTTATAATTGAATTTGTCACGTAATTAGTTCCTGCACCTTCATTGCTCATAACAGGAGACTTGATTTTCTATCCAATTTCATAAGAACATAATTAATTCATGATATTTACTGCAATCTTATATACAGATCGTGCTTTTGTTCTGCTCTGATTAGAAATGATTTGTACATATTCAAGTTGGTAGGAGTTTTTAATATCATATACAAATGTTTGATTTTAATTATTGACGTGCTGTATACATAAAATACTGTGAATATCGTGAAGCCTAATGAAAAGTTTCTGTGCGTATGTTCATAGAAACAATTTGATCGATACTTGGGACAGTTTCGATATCATTCCATGAAATTCGTTTCACAATTAGTATCTAACGTACAGTGGAAGACTTATTCGATTAGAGAAGCAATACGTAGTGAATTCTAGATAGTTATATTATTCATTAAAAGGGGAAAGCAATTTTGGTTCGTCGTACGTTCGAAATATCGATTGGTATATAGGGGTAATAAAGAATGGAATTTTTTTCCATCGATTTATAGAAAATGTTTTATCTTTCAAACAAATATTCTGTTTGTCTGTGTTTGAAGAGTACAATTACATAAGCAATTCACTTTTTATATTAAAGAGCAACACCAGCCAGAAAATTGTAATTACGAGAAATTATAAACCGAATGAGGGTGATTTGCTCTTCTTTGAAGTGCTAAGTAGAACTTGTTTAGGTAAGATAACGTGATTCTAAATAGAAAATTTGCGGCTTCGATGAGCATAATGTTTCACATACCAAGCTTTAATAATTACCGATTGTAATAGTGTTCATCTGCCAAGCTCAGCAAAAACATTTTGAATGAATCTTTCCTCAATTCTGATGAGATATAAAAAGAAATATATATATATATATATATATATATATATATATATATATATATATATATATATATATATATATATATATATATATATATATATATATATATATATATATATATATATATATATATATATATATATATATATATATATATATATATATATATATATATATATATATATATATATATATATATATATATATATATATATATATATATATATATATATATATATATATATATATATATATATATATATATATATATATATATATATATATATATATATATATATATATATATATATATATATATATATATATATATATATATATATATATATATATATATATATATATATATATATATATATATATATATATATATATATATATATATATATATATATATATATATATATATATATATATATATATATATATATATATATATATATATATATATATATATATATATATATATATATATATATATATATATATATATATATATATATATATATATATATATATATATATATATATATATATATATATATATATATATATATATATATATATATATATATATATATATATATATATATATATATATATATATATATATATATATATATATATATATATATATATATATATATATATATATATATATATATATATATATATATATATATATATATATATATATATATATATATATATATATATATATATATATATATATATATATATATATATATATATATATATATATATATATATATATATATATATATATATATATATATATAATCTGTCTCTTATACACATCTAGATGTGTATAAGAGACAGACTAAGTACCTTGTAGTTGTCGAGATATATAAATATTTAAAGTATAATTAATATATTCAAATAACTATATTGTACATGTAGCTAGACAGTCCAACCGAAAGTCAGTTGTAAAATGAATACATCAAGAATGATGTCACTGTTTTAATAGTGTAATCGAGTTTTATGTTAAGAATACATTTTACACATGTTCTCTATAA